TTACCGGCAATTGCCACAACTGTGGAAAGCCGAACCATATGGCTAAGGACTGCAAGAAGCCTAAAAAGGCTGGTCTGAAGAAAGCACAACATGGTGCCCTCATTGCTGAACACGGCCCTGTGCCGAGTGAACTAACCGATATGGATATGTCGGTTGTGGTGTTTGAAGCCAATTTGGTGGATAACCCAAGGGCGTGGTACATTGATACTGGTGCCACTCACCACGTGTGTTCCGACAAGGGGTTGTTTTCTGACTACACCCCTTCAAATGGTCGGAAGCTCCACATGGGCAACTCATCCTCGTCTGATGTGGCTGGAGTTGGCATCGTAGTGCTGAAGCTGACTTCTGGAAAGGAGTTAAAGCTTAAGGATGTGCTGCATGTCCCAGACATCCGCAAGAATTTGGTCTCCGAATCTCTTCTTGTAGAGCATGGTTTTAAGTTAGTGTTTGAAGCTAAGAAGTTTATTCTTAGCAAGTATGGTAAATTCCTTGGTCGTGGCTATCTCGACAATGGTTTATTTAAAATGAATGTAATGGCTGTAAGCTGGATAACCGTTTCTAATGATAATGAAAATCGTACTTTTGTTTATATCGTGGAGTGTTCTGATTTATGGCATTTTAGATTAGGGCATGTGAATCTAAATGCAATTAAACAGTTGATGAACTCAGAATAATTCCTACTTCTAAAATTGAATCACACAAAAAATGTGAAATTTGTGTTGAAGCCAAAATGGCTGAATTACCTTTTCACTCGGTGGAAAGAAATACTGAACCGTTGGGATTAATCCATACTGATGTATGTGACTTGAAGTTTGTGCAAACAAGAACGGGTAAAAGATATTTTATAACTTTTATTGATGATTGTACAATGTTTTGCTACTTATATCTTTTAAGAAGCAAAGATGAAGCTGTGGAAGCTTTTAAAAATTATAAGACCGAAGTTGAAAATCAACTCGACAAAAAGATTAAAATAATCTGAAGTGATAGGGGTGGGGAGTATGTAGCTCATTTTGACCAAATATGTTCTGAATATGACATAATTCATCAAACGACGGCCCCCTATTCTCCACAGTCAAATGGTGTTGCTGAACGCAAGAACCGAACTTTAAAAGAGATGATGAATGCCATGTTGATAAATTCAGGATTACCCCCGAATATGTGGGGGGAAGTTATTTTAACAGCAAATCATATTCTGAATAAAATACCACCTAAAGGGAAAAATGAGACTCCGTACGAAATGTGGAAAAATCGTAAGTCGTCTTATAAGTACCTGAAAGTGTGGGGGTGTTTGGCTAATGTTTCAGTTCCTGAACCAAAACAAATGAGAATCGGACCTAAGACGGTCGATTGTATTTTTATTGGATATGCATATAATAGTATTGCATATAGATTTCTGGTTCATAAATCAGAAAATCCGGAGGTATCGGTTGGTATCACTATTGAGCAAGGAATGCTATATTCTTCGAGAATATTTTTTCTTTGAAGGAAAAGGCAGAATCTAGTTCTAACAAAAGGACGTATGAAACTGCTAGCGGTTCTATACCAGATGGTACTAAAGATATAGAAGAAGAACCGAGACGTGGTAAAAGGGTAAAAACGGCAAAAACGTTTGGACCTGATTTTATTACGTACATGTTGGACGATGAACCGAGTTCCATCAAGGAAGCTTTGTCTAGCCCAGATGGACCACTCTGGGAAGAAGCTATAAATGGCGAAATCGAGTCCATTATGCAAAATCATACTTGGGAGTTGGTTGATCTCCCTGCGGGTTGTAAATATTTAGGATGCAAGTGGATCCTAAAAAAAAATACAAAGTTGATGGAACGATTGATAATTTTAAAGCAAGAT